CATCATCGCTTACAAAAGTGATATTTTCCTGCCCGCGCCCCATCGTGTACCTGCCGGGACTGACATGGAATGCTTCCGCACTGGAGGCATTCAGGGCTAGATTTGGAGCGTAGTAGGACAAAGCGGCAATTCCAACCACATCGAGTTCGAAAGCTTTGTCTGCGGCGTTTAATGGAGCCAATGAAGCGCCGCGTCATTGTAGGTGGATCCCGCTCGCTACAACGGTATTGTCCCAGGACGCCGCATCCACAACCAGGAAACGCGCGGCGCGATCTGAAACCGTCGCGCAATACAGGTGCTTTATCTGCGTATCAGCGCTCTGATGCGAATACATGTCGATCGCGAGTATTTCTTACTGGCTGTCGACCTCACACTTATCGAGGGCCATCGCCAATCATAATAAGAGCTGTTCAGCAGACTGCGCCTATGACTCGCCAGAAGGAGGAAGCTATAACATCGCCCTGCCACAAGGCTCAAACAGCAGCGTGCCGAGCGCTTCGCTGCAAATGGTCCAAGTCTGCGGAGCTGCTGGTTGGGGGACAATCTCGGAAACCTCAGCGGATGACCGATCCTGCAGCACCACACCGCACACAAGCACTCGAGGCTGTCACTACTGCGTCACAACAGCCCAAGTATGCGCCGTAGAGTCAAAGTGACAACCAAGCACGCTGTTGTGAGTCTGTGACACGATTCAGTGATTGAAGCGAACGTCACCAAGAGATGCATGAGTTCTACCGAGTGCCAGCGACAAGAGGACTGTATATGCGCACGTGTTGACATCGCGATCTCCGGTGCGGGGTGCCGTCGTCGCGCTTTCGGCGATTCCAGAGTCCTGTTGCGCACTCCACTGACTTGCTCGCCGCGCGCCAGAGGCGGCTGGCAGCTGAGCACGATAGAGGGAAGGCAATTTGGCAGTGTACTTGGACAAGTGTGACTAGACCATAGCCGCAAATGCCCCGTGCGCGATCGTCCCAGTCGCCCCGAAAGAACTGAGTCGGCCTTGGAGCACGCCTTCCCCTAGTGGTACAAAATCCCGAACCGGAATCGAGTAGGGCACAGCTCAAACCATTGTCCCCAGATGCGGGTTCAGCTTTTGCAGCTGTGAGTTCGCAGCAACACTTCCTATTGACAGAGCA